ATGGGTAAACGGGTGGGACCGCTCACCACGATCGCGGGGGGACTCAGTCCGGTGCTGCCGAACGTGGCCCAAACTCGATTTGGTTGTTGCCCGGGTTTCGCTCGGGCGGCAGCGCCCATCAGACCGGCGCGGACGTCGTTCCGAGGGTCGCCGGCGGGGAACGCTGTTTGTCGGCTCTGCCTGTAACTCGACCTCGACGCCCACCGGATTCTGCTTTTGCGCTCGCGTCGCCGACGGGAGAGACGGGCCGCCGGGAACGAGGAGAGCGCGGCGGTCGCCGCTTTCGCGGCTGCCGCCGCTGTGGCGGCGATTCGCGTCGCTGCTGCTGCTGCTGCCGCCGTCGCTGCCGTCGTGGCTCCTCCTCTCCATTCCTCGCGATCACCGGCACCTTTCCTTCGCTCGGCATCATATGGCGCGGGCGCTTCGGCGCGACGCTCACATTCCGCACGGCCGGCACCGGACGCACTTCCCCTCCGGTCCGTCGTCGCGACCCGTTCCCGGCGTGCAGGTCGACGCGCGGTGTCCGTAGGCGGAAGGCGCACTCTAAACTCTACCCCTGCTTGTCGGGAGCGGAGGCGTCTTCTGTCGGGCCCGCGAGCGTACTGCCCCCTTCTGCTGGGGACGGAGGAAACGAAAACGCGATCCGTTACACGTGGCGAACCGGTTTCTTCTCGTCGGACGATCAGCGCGGCGTTTCGCGCGCCCTCGGCGCCCCACCGTCTCGGGCGCGCGCGGGACAGTGTTCGCGGGAGCTTCGAAACCGGCGCGGCCGCGTCGATTGCCGTGCCGGCGCGTGACGTCGTCTCGTCGCGTCGTCTTCTCCGCGTTTCTTGTTTCCCTGATAGCTATAATATCCAACTCTTCAAATGTAATGTCAATCGGCGTCTCCAGATGCCTTGATCTAACTGCTGTCCTTCTCTTCATCCTTTCCTCTATCACTCCTATTTGCTCTCGCTCCAACTCTCTGTAACCCCTTGCGTGCTAGTGGCTTCCCGCCTTGCTTGGGGTGAAACGCTTATATATATATATATATATATATATATATATATATATAAATATATATATATAAGTTATGAAGAACTTGGTAAACCGAATTGGTAAATCCAAGGAGGATGAAATCCTGAAAGCTCAATGTGAAGAACAGAGCCAATATTAATGAACAACAGACACTTTAAGGTACCATTACAATAATTTATTTCACCAAAATCCTTTTTAAAAGGATTTTGGTGAAATAAATTATTGTAATGGTATATATATATATATATATATATATATAGAGAGAGAGAGAGAGAGAGAGAGACAGAGACAGAGAGAGACAGAGAGAGCACATATAAGATTTAACTTTGGCTGTATTATCGAAGAAGTCTTCCCAATATCGGGAGCAGAGTGTTTGTAGTTATAGCCAGTCTGGAGACAATAGCACCAACGTCAATAGAAACAATAACAGAAACAACAAAAACGACAACACCAGGAACATGAAATGTAAAACTAAAGAAATGACCCCCACCAAGAACAATTTCACCACCACAACATCTACATCAACAAATGAAATGCCAATACGACCCACACTAATGCCGATGACAACGCCACCCCCAACAAGAACAATGATAATGACAAGAATAATGTTAACAATCAAAGTTTTAAAAAATAACAAGGTCTATCCAGAGGGATGATACTCTATAATCATTATTATTAAGTAACTGGTCATCGTTAAAGTTAAGAACCTGTTCAACTAACCGAAATAACCGAGACTGATCAGGTGAGACCGGGAAATAACATCTTGCTGGCTGGGAAGAAATCCCTGTATAAATCCGCGTAGTTTTGAATATAAACTGCTGAATGGAAAGTATTTTGCAGTCACCCCCATTGTGAGATGGGAACTGAACATTATTTATCATTATTTATTTACATATTTCTGGTGTATTTATTTAAACATTTCCTGTCCCATCTATAGCAGGAAGGGAGGTAAATCTACGTAAGTTAGTAAATTCATTCATTCATAATTACCATATAATCATTATTGGAAAGTATTTGCAGTCCCTCTCATTGTGAGATTGGAACCAAACGTTATGTATTTATTGATATATTTCCAGTGTATGTATTTACATATTTCCAGTGTATTTATTTACATATTTCCTGTCCTATCTCGAGCTAAAAAAAAAGTGAAGCTAAAAAAAGTGAAGCTAAATCGACATAATTTAGTAAATTCATGCATGATTACTTCCCTTAGACATTTTAATGATCTATACAAATGAAATATATATTTTCATTTCGACAAAATTATTTCCCGAACAAAATGAACTGTGTATTTAATCAGTTCCTTTACACCTCTCATCTGTTCACGCCTTTCATGAGAGGCTCTCTGATACCTAATTCTATGAAGTAATCGTTTTATTGCAACTTGTTCTTGAAATAGGCTTTGTCTTTGATATCAATTTCTTTATATCGTTTATCGTTTTCCTCGTGATTCTTCCATTTCAATCTTAAACAAATTAATGAAGTCAATAAAGCGCAGGGCGTTATTGAGTGTCAATGAATATATATATATATATATATATATATATATATATATATATATATATATATATATATATAAACATTATTAAGGTGCAGGGAAAATAAAAGAACAGTAATGAAGATACAGAAGATAACGATGGATATATATATACATCTTTGAATATCAAAGTTGAAATGGGAATAAAGTCAAAAGGAAGACAGTTCAATAAGTGCGATGTGCAAGAAAATAAACTGTTAGCATAGAATTTACTGTTACATCTAGCCAGTTCAACTGTAAAATGAAGAGACGTTACTGCGCTGAAATTCATGAAACAAAGTTCCATAGACGAAGGTTAATCAGAACGTTTACAGTTGAGGTAAAGAAAAAACAAGGTACAGGTGAGTTGCATTAGGGTGGCCTGACATTTAATGAAGTCAAGATGCAAGGTCAGAACAAATGACATTGCACTTTCTTTGCATTTTACCAGGGATCTCTAAATATATATCAGGGAACAAGACCATCTGTGGCTCCAATATTCAAGCCAAGGTTTAATGAAGGTATTCATTCCAGTGTTGTAACTATCAATATATATCTATCTATCTATCTATCTATCTATCTATCTATCTATCTATCTATCTGCAAAAAATTCATTTGAATGTTTATTCATCGATCTGTGAAGAATTCAATTGACCATCTATCTATCTATCTATCTATCTATCTATCTATCTATCTATCTATCTGCGGAAATTCCATTTGGATGTTTATTCATCGATCTGAGAAAATTTCAGTTGAACATCTATCTATCTATCTATCTATCTATCTATCTATCTATCTATCTATCTATCTGCGGAAATTCCATTTGGATGTTTATTCATCGATCTGAGAAAATTTCAGTTGAACATCTATCTATCTATCTATCTATCTATCTATCTATCTATCTATCTATCTGCGGAAATTCCATTTGGATGTTTATTCATCGATCTGAGAAAATTTCAGTTGAACATCTATCTATCTATCTATCTATCTGCGGAAATTCCATTTGGATGTTTATTCATCGATCTGAGAAAATTTCAGTTGAACATCTATCTATCTATCTATCTATCTATCTATCTATCTATCTATCTATCTGTCTGTCTGCGGAAATTCCATTTGGATGTTTATTCATCGATCTGAAAAAAATTTCAGTTGAACATCTATCTATCTATCTATCTATCTATCTAGTAGCGAAAATTTAATTTGAATGTTTATTCATCGATCTGCAAAAATTTCACTTGAACATCTATCTATCTATCTATCTAACTAACAGTATATATATATATATATATATATAGATATAGATATATATATATATGACGTATTACCCCTGACCCTAGACCGAACTTATAATGTAGTAAGTGTTTACTCGCGAGATATTATCCGACATCGTGCCGCCTTATTTTTCAAATAAAGCTGTTTGTGCACCATGTTTCCTGGGGTAGCAAAGTTGAATTTTACAACGTGCTTATTTCAAAAGCATTCAAATATACATAAGCCAAGTGAAATACATGACCTGATAATAGTGTACGCCCATTCTTCAATACATCAAACTTCTTAATTGGATGATCTTTGGCTGCTCGTCGAAATAGCCGACCATCAAATGGATATGACTACCAGACGTGAATCTGATGTGAATTAATATCGACCCCTGCGATTATTCCAATAGAATTTACGTCGCAGGCCCTTTTATATAGGTAGGAATAGACTTTTATTAATCTGTAAACTAGCACTGTTCATATCTTTTCCTAGGCCTTCAGTTTTTTGTTTTTTTTTTAAATACTGTTTGCACAACTTGATAGTTCCATATGAAAGAAGCAGGGAGTTAACAAAACTTATCATCTTAAATATGATGAATAATAAGCGGCAGAAGAATCTGACCGGGACTACAAGAACAGTGCGGGTTCGTTAAAGACACTGGAACAATTATCGCGATAATTCTGCTCTGAATGATATTAGAAAGAGCAGTATAAATGAAGAAGGACGTTTACCTGTGTTTTATAGACTATGAAACGCTTTGATAAAGTAGGCCACAAAAATCTCTTGAAACTGTTCGAAAACCTTATATACAGGGTTTCCATAGAGTTCGTGTGCACTTTAAAAATTTATAACTTTATTTGTATTTGCGATAGAAATAATTTATAAAAAAAGGATTAGAAAGAAGTAAATCTATCTTTTTTTAAAGTTTTATTGAAATTTTTCTTTAAGTTTCCACATGTCCTCCATCATTAGCAATACAAAGAGTAATACGATTTTGCAGTTCACGGAAAACATTTGCCAACTGATTTACAGTAATGCCTGAAATCACATTAGTTATTTTAACTATACTTAAAACTAGGTACATGAAACTTTATAACATTTTTACAGATTATTTTTATCGCAAAAAAACAAATAAAGTTATAAATTTTTAAACTGCACATTATGGTCACCCTGTATATGGGAAGGATACTAAAATAATCAAGAACATCTGCTGGCAGCAAACCGCCTGGATACGTATAGAAAATGAGTGCTATATATATATCATATATATATATATATATATATATATATATATATATATATATATATATATATATATATATATATACAAAAATACAATGGGGTGCAAGACAAGTATATGTCTTGTCGCCGGACTTTATTCACCCTATAGAGCGAGGCAATTCTCAGAGAATTAGATGTCCTACCAGTATTCATTTTTTTGGCGCACACAAAATTAACAACATAAGATATGCACTATATTGATAGCAGACACGGAAGCGAAACTGCAAAACTCCTAGAGAAGTCAGTGAAGGAAAGCAAGAAGAAAGGACTAAATATCAACTACAAGAATACAGAGTCCATGGTTGTTCAAAAAAGGATAATCCCAATATAAAAATTACAAATTAGACATACGAAAATCAAACAATTACAGAAATTTAAATATCTGAGAAGTGTTTTAACAGAGGACGGCAATCCGAAAGACTGAAATCCGAAGCCGCACTAGAATAGGGAAAGTTGGTTTCCAAAAGCCAAGAAGGGTATTTGCCTGACGATTGCGTCTAGCATTAAACAGACTGTCGCCTCTAAGTGTTGAATTCTATGCTCACTTTTATATATATATATATATATGTGTGTGTGTGTGTGTTCAAAGAAATATATATATGTTCAAAGTGTGTGTGTGTGTTCAAAGAAATATATATGTTCAAAGTGTGTGTGTGTGTGTGTTCAAAGAAATATATATATGTTCAAAGAAATATATACACTGCGTGCCAAATTATTATCGAGATAACTTTTTTTCTAATATTTCAATAACAGTCCAATCAATTCACACAAAATTTTCACCCAACGTTGGCAATACTGACCTGCGCAAGCACTGAATTTTTCGTACTGATCTGCGCAATATAAACAAACTGGCACCATATTTGTTATCAGCACTGTGATTTGAGTGTGGCAAATTATTAGAAAGGTTTAGTAAAATTCCCAGAATTGTGCAAACAAAACGCTTTTTAATGTTGCACGTGAATGTTTATGATCAAAAGACGCTAATAAATAAGATAATCAAACAAATAATAACAGATAAAAACCAAGGCACAGTTATAAACAAATTAATAGGGAATGGGCTTTCCCAGTTTTGAAATTACTTGAAGAAGTCTATGATCCATAGAATTTGTTAATTGTAGGATGTCATCTGCTGTAATGCCGCGAGATATGTCAAGAATTGCTTCCCACAACTCAGTGTTGTCCTGAATTGTCGTCCATTGGCGTACAGTTTTCGCTTCATGATGCTTGAAAGGTTTTCGATTGGGTTCAAATCCGGAGAATTTGCTGGCCACTTCATTTTTCGAAGTCCATCAAAGCCTAACTGTTTCAAATATTCAGTAGTAGTTGTGAGCAGCATGTGAGGGAACATTATCTTGCATAAAAACAATGGCCCTTCTGAAGGCAACTCTTTGCTTTTTCATCCACGGTTCAAGATGCTCCTTCATAATGCTATGTATGCATCAGCAGTCATTTTGACGCCATCTGGTACTCTCCATGAGCCCCCTAATGTTTTTCCAATAATACGACCCCAGATCATTATGCCTCCACCGCCTTGTTGACGTCTCAAACGCTGATGGCGATTCTGTCCGTTCATTACCCAGGCTTTGCAACATCTATCTGGCCCATCAAGTGTTGCCCGAGTTTCGTCTGTGAACAAAACTTTAGAGAAGTCAATCTTCATATTGTCCTCGGCCCATTTCAATCGATTTTGAATGTGATTTCTCGTCAACGGATGCTTCGATACAGGTTTGACTGTTGTTGCTATTTCCCTCAGATACTGACACCGAGTACTGTTAGACACAGTAGGATCCCCAATGCAAGTGAAAAGCTCTTGACTGGTAAGTCCAGGATACTTCGTGGCCTCTCGTTTAAGTCGTGACATGAGACGACGTGAAATAACCTTTTCCTTGCCTTTATCTGCCCTTTGCGTACTTGTGTAGGGTCGGCGATGAACTTTTTTTTTTTTGATGACACCTCCCTATCATTTTAGATATTTCTAGGGTAGATTTACCTTTTGAGAGTTCTGGGGTGATAGTTTTCTTTTCAGCATCACTTAAACTGCTTTTACGACCTATCTTTCCACTAAATTCTTACACTTTCTAATAATTTGGCACTCTCAAATCCCTGTGCTGATAACAAATACGGCGCCAGTTTGTTTACATTGCGGAGATCAGTACGAAAATTTCACTAATTGCGCAAGTCAGGGTTGCCAATATTGTGTGAATTGATTGGAGGGTTTTTGAAATATTAGAAAAAAGTTATCTCGATAATAATTTGGCACGTAGTTATATATGCTTAGTTGATCATGTATCTTCGATACAGGAGAGATGAGGCAGATTATCTCCCGTTGCTATTTCTTTCTGCAGTAGACCAGTTGCCATTCCAGGCTATAGAACCCGGTCTGTTCTGCAGTTTACCCTTAGGTGGGGGAGAAGAAAATGATTCATACCATTCCCAAGATTATTAGCACAAAATTGAATGCAATGGATTCGACTAGAATTCGAACTCGCCTTCTCCGATTCCTCAATCTGAGCCGCTATCCATTATTATACCGTGCCTCCTTATGCTGAACATGACAGCTTAAAACTCCCAAAAATCGTCGGCGACTATATGATTTTTCAAGCGTAGCTTAGATTTGGCACAAGGCTGAAAGTATGTGACACCCAGTGAAGATCGAACTCACTACTCAGTCGTAAGTGTCCATAGCAAGGCAGGCTTGCTAACCATTACACCGCCTCGTGGTGCCCAAAGGCACAGCTACATATAACACAAACATAACTATCCTCTCCCCGTCATTATATCACAAATTCCCACACATGTATATCAATTAGCAAAAGCCATCAATCAACTTATCACTCCATATCTCCCTAGCAAATGCAGCATAAAATCAGCTCTTGAGGCAAACCAAGTTCTAAAAAATGAAAAATCTAACAATGGAGCCGTATTCTCACTCGATGTCGAAAACCTCTTTACTAATGTCCCTGGTCGTGAAACTATTGAGATAATTATAAATAGCTTATACCATAATCCGTCTATAAACCACTTTAAATTATGCCAAATATATATTACGAGAACTACTGTTAAATTGCATTATCGAAGTCG